GGCCGAGCCCTTCGACCCGCGCGTCGGGGCGCCCCACATCCAGTGACATTACTCGCCGACGTTCGATCCCTTCCCTTACCTTTCCGACTACGGGGTCCGCGAAGCATGTCGCTACCTGGATGCCATGCGCCTCCCGTCAAGAGAATAGCACCACGGGCTTCCGGGCGCGCGCGTTCATGGGGGCTGCGCGGAGCTGCGAACTTCGTCGGCAGTGGGACTCCCGCGGGACGCCCTGCATCTGACTCCCTCCGCAGACCTTTGCTGGGACAAAGCGTGCGAGGCGTTCGCGGCCCCTCAGGACAGCGACTACGGTAGCCTGATCCCCAACCCCACGGTGGTGAGCAGCCGCTGTCGGAGCATCTCCTCCAGCAATCAGCGCCTTGGTCAGGTTTTCATTCCCATCCATCCTGTGGTGTTGGGTCCTCGTTTTGAAGAGACAGCGCCCCGCAACTCTTCCTCCTCTCCCCTCCTCCTCCTCCTCCTCCCCCTCCTTCCTCTTCCCATCCGCCCCGTCATCGTCATTGTCATCATAAGCATCATCCCGCCCATTCCGGCACACCCCTCACACGGTCCGTGGCCCCACAGGGAGTTCCACCGAAGGCCCCAGTGGCAAGGTCCGCATGGGGGGACCGCCACCCATTTTGGCACACCCTTCACACGGATCGTGGCCCCACAGGGAGTTCCACCGAAGGCCCCAGCGGCAGGGTCCGCATGCGGGGACCGCCGCCCATTTTGGCACACCCCTCACGAGGATCGTGGCCCCACAGGGAGCTCCACCGAAGGCCCTTGCGGCAGGGTCCGCATGCGGGGACCGCCGCCCATTGTGGCACACCCCTCACGAGAATCGTGGTCCCACAGGGAGCTCCACCGAAGGCCCCAGCGGCAGGGTCCGCATGCGCCCGACGCCCAGTTTGGCACACCCCTCACGTGGATCGTGGCCCCATATGGAGCTCCACCGAAAGCGGTACCCACACCGCTGTATTCACAATTGCGCATGGTTGGGTCTTTCGCCGGGCGGAACGCGCTACGAGTTCGGCTCCCTGCGAGCCGTATGAAGTCGCCAAGACATGGCGACCAGCGCTGGAAAGGACACGATGGTTCCCCTCGCTTGAATGCGCTCGCTACGGGTTACACTATGGCGGCTGAGATTGCACATACTGCGCGCGAGGGTGCGCCGCGCAGATTCGGAGCCCTTCGGCCCCAGGAGCCAGCGGTGCACCGCTCCCCGTTCCCGCCAGGCCCTTTGGTCGAGATGCTCAACATCGAAGACCACGCGGTTTTTTCAAACGCTTGCCGGGAAGGGGTCTGCCCCCGCCCCGACGACCCTCTCGCGCGCGGCAAAGGGTTGTTCGCCGCGCGCGATCACGGCTGCCCCAGGGTGGGTTTGATCCAGCATCCAGGCAAGCGCACCCGCCGCCACCCACGGGGTCGTCTTCTGCGCCGAGGTGGAAGATGGGATCGGCATAGTCTGCGCCCCGCTCGTCCGAACGGGGGCCCTCTGCAGGCTAATGCTTACCTGAGTGCACACCGGGCGCCCGACGAGCGCCATCTTGGCGTCGCTGGTGGGATGTTGGGTCCAGGTCTTCCTGTGCCGCCCACCTTTGCTGTCGGTCTGTGCTCGCGTCTACGCCTTTCTGTCGACTTCGGAGGCAGTGGCGGAAGAGAGTACTTGTTATGCAGTGGCGTTCGGACCATACCGCCCCCGTGCCTGGGTCGTGGGTGCGAAGCTTCTGGGATGATCGTTGGGCTCTCTTGAGAGGCTCTTCTGGGGCTTCTTGGAGGCAGTTTGGACGCCTCTTGGGGGCAGTTTGGGGGCAATGTTTGGGATTCATGAGGGCCTCTCGGGGCCTCCTGGTTTGGGGCCTTCTTGGGGCCCTCTTGGACCGTTTTGGACGCTTCTGGGGCTGTCTTGGGGCCCTCCTGGGCCGTTTTGGGGCCCTCTTAGGGGCCTATTGGGCCGTCTTGGGGTGGTCTTGGGGGCCTCTAGGGCCGTCTGGGAGCGTCGGGAAGCCGGAAAAGCGAAAACGCCAATTCTTTTCAAAAACTGGAAAAATTAATGATGTTGGCTTCTTGGTGCCCTCTTGGGAGGCTTCTTGGAGGCCTCGTCTTGGAGGCCTTTCTGGGCCGTCTGGGGGCCATCTTGAGCGTCTTGGAGCGATCGTTCCCGCGACTCGGGGCCTCCTTGGACCGTCTCGGGATTTTCTGGAGGCCCTCTTGGCCCGTCTTGGACCCTCTTGAGCCAGAAAAAGTCACGCGACAAGATGCGCCAATGTCCAAGGGAGCCGCGCCAAGCCCCGGGAGATTTGTGAACTTGGGCTAGGGGCCCTTCAAAGACTCCTCAGGAGTGAGAACTGACGCTTAGAGGATTGGGCCGAGGACTTGAGGACACGCCCACTTCGTGCCCAGCGGCACGGTGGCGGATTCATCTCAGTTCGGAACGAGCTGCTCGCCTGAACGTTCGTGGTCTTCGCGGCAATGACCGACCTTCGCGCAGGGTGCGCTCTCGAAGTGTTCGGTGCGGGTGCTTCCCTCGCTTGGGGGGAGTAGTCCGCGCTCCGACCATCCGCGCTCTTCCGAGCCCTGGCGCCGTTCGAAGCACCGCGGTCGGCGCGCCATCTTGCGCGACCGTCGCGAGCTCGCCGTATCGGGCCGCGGCGCTCTCGAGGCCCCGAGATCACCCGGCTGCATCAACAGCTGGGGCTCCCTTCCATTGAGCTTCCAGTCGACCGCACTGGGTTGCAGAGCTACCGGAAGCTACCCGCTTCCGCCTTGCTTATCAATTGGAGTTCCGCGTGCCGCGCCTCATCGATATCCTGGAATCCGCCGTCTGTAACAACGTGTGTACGCATTGTTGTATTAAGCCCCCCTGTTAGAGGATGCCCGTTCTGTTGGATTCTAAACTTGCTTTGGGCGTTTCCGCGCGCGGCCGCAGCAGTTTCCTGGACTGCTCCAAGTCCTCAGCACGGCGTTACCTTGTGTTATCAGGGGGGCTCTGCCAAGGAGGTCTCTGTGTGCTTGCCGACGTCCGCAGCACCTACTACACCACTCGCCATTTGGCGGAGGCTGGGTCTTTTTCCGGGTTTGATTGCGCGGCGCTTACAGACTCTCGCGCGCTCTGCCCAGCCTGCCTGTGGGGTCACGTCATCGCGCTTCTGCTGGCTTGCAGCCCGGGGGGGGCTTGCCTCGGGCCACGCTTTGCGACCCCACCTCTTGGACGCCCACATCTGGACGCCCCCGAGGGTTGAGGAGCCGATCCCCGGCACCGGACGTCCAGACTTCGGGGGGCCCCACGTGGCGAGGCGAGTTGTGGCGTCGGGAGGTCTTGGCCCGCGGCGCCCTCGGTCCTGGGTCCCTTTGGCGCCCATGCGCCGCGCGAGCGTCGCTCGCGGAGGGGGTCGGCCCGCCTCGCCCAGATGGCGGGATCGAGCCCTGCAGGGGGCAGGGTCGGGAGCTCCGTCCGTGTTGTCTCTCTGTTTTTCCCTCTCTCCCTCTCTTTCTCTGTCTCTTTCTTTCTCTCTCTTTTTCTGTCTTTCTCTCTCTCTCTCTCTCTCTCTTCGCTGTTCCTCTTTCTCTCACCTTCTCTTGCTGATTCTTTTCTCCGGATTGAACAACAAGAGTGAAGGAGAGAAAGAAGAGAGAGAGAGAGAAACAAAAAAAAGAGAGAGAGAGAGAGAGAGAGAGCCCCAACAACAGACAATGTACCGAACAGCAACATGTATGCCTGTACGACCACCCTTCGGGTGATAAGGAGTTTGTAGGGGGGAGAGGGGGGGGGAACCAACATCTTATTCAATCGATATCACTATCGATCTCACTCAACGGGACACCACTGGCCACCGCGTGACACCACGGGACACCGCGGGATATTTCTCGATCTCATGATCGGTCTCACTATCGATCTCACGATCGATCTCACTCAGCGGGACACCATAGGACACCACGGGACACCTCGGGACACCACGTCGATCTCACTATCGATCTCACTATCGATCTCACTATCGATCTCACTCAACGGGACACCACGGGACACCTCGGGACACCTGTCGATCTCACTATCGATCTCACTATCGATCTCACTCAGCGGGACACCACGGGACACCTCGGGGCACCTCGGGGCACCACATCGATCTCAGTATCGATCTCACTGTCGATCTCACTCAGCGGGACACCACGGGACACCTGTCGATCTCACTATCGGTCTCACTATCGATCTCACTCAACGGGACACCACGGGACACCTCGGGGCACCACATCGGTTTCAGTATCGATCTCAGTATCGATCTCAGTATCGATCTCACTCAACGGGACACCACGGGACACCAGCGGGACACCGGCGGGACACCGGCGGGACACCACGCGGCACTGGCCGCCGGAGGAGAAACATTTGGTCCGGCCACGGCCCAGCAACAGGAGGATTTCGGGACACCCGCGGGACACTTTCGGGACACCGCGTGGCACCGGCCGCCGGAGGAGTCAAATTTGGTCCGGCCGCGGCCCAGCCACAGGATGATTTCGGGACACCCGCGAGACACCGGCGGGACACCGCGCGGCACCAGCAGCCGGAGGAGTTACATTTGGTCCGGCCGCGGCCCAGCCATAGGAGGATGTCTTCTCGCCCGCCTACGCAGCTTCGCCTCGCCCGCACGCACGCACGGCACGCACGTCACGAACCCGAAACCGAAATCGATTTCCTGGTAGGGGGGTCTCCGTTTCACGTCGGACTCACCCCCCAACCTCCGACACAGAAAAATGGAAGGATGTGGAGAGAGAAAGAGAGAACGAGAGATCCGCATTTCTGCTCGTTGTCTCTCTTATCTGGCCCTCTCCCCCGCTCCTCCTCCCTGCCTCCTCTTTGCTCCCTCGCCCCACCTCCCTTCTCCTCATCCCTCCTCCTGCCTCCTTTTCCCGCCTGTTCCGTCCACCTCCCTCCTCCTTGTCCCTCCGTTCTCCATCCTGTCTCCCTCCTCCCTTCTCCTCCGTCCTCCTCCCTCCTCCTCCTCCTCCCTCCTCCTTCCTCCTCCTCTTCCTCCTCCTCCTCCTCCCTCCTCGTCGTCCCTCATCATCCCTTCTCTCGCCTGCGTTCTCCCTCCTCCCGTGTCCCTCCTCGGGGGAGGTGTCAGCGCAACGCGAGAGTACGTCGGCTCAAGGTCCCAAAGCCTGACGCTGCGCTGCAACAAAGAAACGGTCGTTCATCGCCTGGTGGGCAGCCGGATGCGCAACCTATTGGCGGAGTGCGAACCCTCATCTTTCTTTCTGGAGGATCAGCGTGGGGATGGACAGAATAGAGACGAAGACCGACAGCATATCATTCGAATTTACGGCAGGATTCGCTGTCGGCGTCGCAGCGGGCGTTACTCATTCGATGCGATCGTCACTTGCCCGATGTGGCAGGCGGGGTCGGATTGCACTCGCTGTGGGACACCGCCCCTCATTCTATCTTTCCCCATCATGAACGCGCCAACTTTTCCAACCTGGAGGAAAGAAGTGGGGGATAGTAGGGGGGGAAAAATATTCTATGGGGCTCTACTTCCGTCCTTCCTTCCCTCCAAATCACCTCATTGGCTTCCTCATTCCTCATTCCTGTTTCCTGTCTTCTTTCTCCTCCCTTCCGTCGCCATTTTGGTGCTATTTCCAGTTCGGGGGGCTGCAAGCCTACAGGCTTAACGGATGCCGCTGTTCCACGACAGCCACCATTAGGACCCTGTTCATGACGGTCTTGGGCCAGGTGGACTGGATGATTTCATTTCAAGGCGAGGGTTCTTCCGTAAAGCGATGGATGAGGCAGAGGTCGACCCCTTCTTGGTCTTCGTGCTCGGGGCCGATCACGAACCGCAAGAGCACGATGCACAGCGAATCTCGGCGCTGACGCATGGCGGCGCGACCAGCGGGCCAACCAATGGGAAAGGTAAGCGGGCGGCGCCGCCACCAGAGTCGCACATTGGGCCCAGCTCAGGACTTCGACTTTTCAGTTTCGGCAGTAAGAACCCACGCTCGGACGGGAAACGCCACGTGGAGGACGTCAGCCCAAGAAGCGTTGAGGCGGTGGAAGACGGGGCTGGGGCGACAGCAGCTACGGCGTCAGGGCGCGCCTCTCCTCTGCCCAACGATGCCGGGAAGTTCCGCCCAATCAGTCTCGGCCCAGGCGATCAGGTCCCAGCTGCAGGGCGCTTCTTGAGCCCCGCAGCGAACCTCAGAGTCGCCGCCGCTTCCGGCGAGTCCGCACGCGGCGGTCGAAGAATTTCGGTGCCCGATTTTCCTCGATATCGCCTCGCTTTCGTTGCTTAGAACAGCTTGGGAGCGCGACCGCTGGGCGTTCCTTGAACCTGGTGGTCTCAGCGTCGCCGCGGAAGCATGGTTATATCGCGAACGCCGTGCCGCTTTATGACAACAGTACCCCATGGAGGCCTGCACTCCGCAAATACTTGGACGGCAACGAGTGCCAAATGCTACTGCTAGTGATTGGGAGGGGGGAGGGGCGCGTGCGTTCACTTCAAATGAGGGGTAGAGCGTGATTTGGACAAACATGCATTGCAGGTCGCTGCGACCCATCCGTTCGCCACTGGTCATGGAGGGCCAAGTGGATGTGAACAGGCGCTGTCAGGTCATCGCTGCCAAGAGGCACCTCCCCACCGCAAGCTACGCAGTCGGGCGCCAGGCCGGCTCGGTCCCGCGCGACGAGGCAATCGCGGGATTTGTATCGACCTCGGGGCTGTTGCAGCAGGCGCTAAAGGATGGCCCCCGACCGGTGGAGGTGCTCGACGCGGGGTGGAAGATCCATGTCGGCTTACGAGTTGAAGTGATCGGAGGAGGTGAACGCTTGCGGCGTCGCTCGCAAAGGAGCGAGGCCAGATCCTCTGCTGCGCCCGACCCGCCCCAAGGCAGCAGAGGGGCCCAGCGTCGGCAGGATTTCCCAAGCAGGAATTGAGGCGATCTCCCGTCGCGCCTGTCAGCTCCCAGTTGAGCTTCTTGCTGGGTCTGACCCCCCAACGCGCGGCCCAAGAGGATGCAGGGGCAGGGGGCCGCGATGTCAGATATCCCGATCCACTTCAGCGACTGGGACTCGGCGCGAGAGGCTCTCGCCGACGAGAGGGCCCAGTGCGCGGACGAATGTTGGCCGACAATTTGGGGCCGCGGTGCTTCGCTCTGAAGCCCAGCAGGGTGCGAGGCTGCATCCAGCTTTTTTTGTCGGTGAATTACCGCGCTCGAGAGGGCGCCGGCCACCCTGCATTCCTCGCGCGCAGAGGCCGCCACCCAAGGCAGCGGACACGCTGGGGGGCATTCGACCCGATGGCAGAACTCCGAAATTTCGCTTGGACGGGGCCGCACTACTCGTGGCCCCGGTTGAGTAGGAGGGCGCGGCCCATTCGTTTCTAACCGCGCAACGCGCCGCGAATGCTCGCGACGCCGACGCGAGGCAAAGGGGCTTTCATACTCTTTCCCCTCGCTCCCATCGCCCATTTAGGCGGCCCTGCCCACCCCTTTGAACATATGGTTGACAGGGCCAGGAACGGGCGTGGAGGGGCTGAGCTACGCTGGGTTCTCCGAGTTTCGATGTCCAGGGGGCTCGAGGAAGTGCAAGGAAGCCGCTGGCGGAGCATGTTCTGTGAGCCCCCCGCCCTGCAACCAGCTGCTCCTTCGCCCCGGTTGCTTGCCGCTCCGCGCGCGCAACTGCCCGGCCCCCCGCTGCCGCGAGCGGGGGGGGGGGGGGGGGGGTATGCAGATCGACGCGCGAGCTCTAGTCCTTTTGACATCCAGCCCAAATTGGTAGCGGACCCGTCGGTGGACGCTTGCGCGGCATGGCCCGCTATTGAAGCAGAAACCGCCAACGCCGCGGACGCTGCGGCTGCCTTTAAAAAGGAGTGGGGACGATAGCGCGACGTTGGCGAGCGGGAGGAAAATGCGGCCATGGAACAGAGCGACGCGAGAAAAAAAACGATGCAAGGGCAGACCTCCCACATGGGACGGTCCTTCGCTATCGTCGCCGAGGGGGGCGCGGAGGACCTCGATGGCCATGCAGACAAGAAGTTCAGGAGGACGTTATCGATCAGGACAAGAATGTGGCATTGCTTTAGGAGTTGCCTTCCCGCCCTGCAGCGACGCTGGCGAGCGAGGCGCCGGATTCCTATGGATTGTTCCCAGATCGCGATATCTCACAGGCCGACGCGCGGCATGCGCGCGCTCAGTCCACGCTGGGGGGCACCCCGACGCGGGTTTGCCGCCGAGCTGGGAAGGCATGCGCGACCCAGGGTGTCCGCTGAGGCTGGCCTTATACGGCCACCCCGATGCCAGGGGCACTGGGGGCAGCGCTGTAAGACGCACGCGCTCGCGAAGGTATAGTGTCTACACTCTCGTGGCGAAGTTGCTACTTCCACGCGCATCTCGAGCTCTTCTTGATAATGCACGTCTGATTTCAATTTGGCAGGCCCGGCAGCCAGCGCGCAGGAGGGGTGGGGTCTCAGCCTGGGCCCATCCGACTCTGCACCGAACGGGATCGAAATGGATCCCCCGATAGCTGTGGGCAGGCATCTGGGATGCGAGCGCCGAATATCGCACGAGTGGATCGACTGGCAGGGCAAGGTTTCGACCGCGTCGGGTCCTCACCCGCCCAAGCTTAGGAATGAAGGGCGCGGCCGCCGCTGAGTTCGGCGGGCTCGGCGATCCCAACTCAGCCGCAGTCGAATGGCGCCCGCCGATCTATGCTGACCATTCCTACCCTGTCCCGAAGGGCCAGAAACCAGGGGCTAGATACGACGCGCGCGCATCAGCGCATGGCGTCGCTGCCTCCGGGGCCAGATTGGAGGTCTGCAGCTTGACGAGTTGCCCTCGGTCATGATGCTTGGGAGAAACTTGAGGACACGCAAGATCCGCAGTCTGCCAGCCGCGACCGTCTGCTCGCTTAGATCCCGGTTGGACCAGACGGCCCAAGGAACGCGGCAACGCTCTAGTTCTACAAGCCTGATGCGCCCAATTCGGGGGGCGGTTGTGAGACCGCGTCTCGCGCCGCACCGTGCCGACCTGATGCCGTTGACAATCCAACGTTCTACTATGCCCCAGCGAGCCCGGCACAATTGGTCTCTGACTGTTGAGTGCGCCTGAAGCCGTGGAAGCGCCGAAGCCCTACGTACCGGGACCGAAACGAAAGGTACGATCCATTAAATATGGCATGGGTGATGTCTTCACATCTTGTGTCGCACTATACGCAGAACTGATTGACACTGATCCTGCAAGATATCCACTAGCCGGCATGCCTCACGGCCCAGAGGTGAGCAACTTCGAAGACGAACAGGGAGGTCCTCGGGGCTAGGGGGTCTCTCTTCCCGGCCGAAGACCCTGGCGCGATCCTGGCTCGGATTTTCCCCTTGCGGCACTCCCCCAAGCTTTTGCCGCGAGACGTGCGGCGCTTCGAGAGCGGGGGGGGCGGGCCGCTTCGCCGTCGGGAGAGCTGGGGGGCCAGGTCCTTGGCCGCCCGCTCTCGGTCTTGCACTTTCAAAAGCCGCGCGAGGTCCGGGCGGGCCGGTCGGCTCGGGGGCGCCCCCTATGGCTTCTGGGGCATCTTGAACCCCGGCACGCATCTGAACGCAGTGCTCTGGCTGGGCCGTAGAAAATGAGGCGGAGCGGGACATGCGACGTCTCTCCGATCAGCTTATGCCCCCAGGAAACACCCGAATGAAGGGCCAGCCGTCCTTGAATTCCGTTGTCATATTGGGCCACCTCCCGTGTCTTTGCCTGGTTGTTTCTTTCTCAAGAGCTGCGGGGACCTGCTGTGAGTTCAGAGAACTGGGGGGACAGGTCGCTGGCGCTGCCCGCTCTCGGTCTTGCGCGCTCAGAAGCCGCGTGAGGTCTGGGCAGGCCGGTCGGCTCGGGGGCGCCCCCATGTGGCTTCTGGAGCATCTTGGACCCCGGCATTCATCTGAACGCTGTGCCCTGGCTGGGCAAAAAATGAGGCCGACTGGGACAAACATATTTGTGCATACACACACATATATATATATATGTGTGTGTGTGTGTCTATATGCACATGCGTGCATATGTATACACATATACATATACATACACATATACATATACATATACATATACATATACATATACATATACATATACATATGCATATACATATATATATATACATATATATATGCCCTCGTTTGGGTCGCTTCTGGATCTCACTGCCAAGGGTGGCGGAGAGCCAGGTGACG